GCACAACCTGGCGTTACGCATTTATTGAAGTTACTGGGCATGGTTAAAAATTAAGACAGCGCAAACACAATTATTACATATATTACAGGTTCTGACAACTAAAGAATTTTCAGAGTCCTGCCACAAATAAGCTACGTATTGATTATCGACCATTTGCGACATGCCATAACGAGCAAAAATTTAAAAAAAACTAATAGGTAGGTTTAAAATTAATAAATACAAATGTATTTTGACAGTGAATGAGATAATTATACTTTCTATTTGCAAAATTTCTCAACCTTAACACAAAATAAGAAAAAAGTGAATTTTCAAGAAAGTTGCGGAATTTTCCGGGTTAAAAAAACAACCGGGATCCCGTTTGAGAAACACTAGTAAGCACTAATAGATACAGTAGTGTTGAGAAAAGATAATCTTTTTTAAATCTATATGAAGATAATTATTTCAGACTTTTATCTAGGTAAATATGTGAGATACTTCATCTCATCTTAAAGAATAAGATAAAAGATATTTTTATCCGAGATAAAAAAGATGATATTTACTTATCACTATTAAAATTAAAAATAATAGTTTTGCAGCCTTTTCAGTTAACTAAGTTTATTTTATGGTCTTTGTGGAACTTACACTGTTTTATATTTAAAATAAGCAACATTTCAAATAGTTTGTCCCTAGCTATTTTTGCATTGGAATAACAATCTGAGAACTAAAACCAAACATTTGTTTTTTGGGAGCAAAAAAAAAGAATTTTGATGCGGTTCTTAAAAAAATACAGATAAATTGGAAATTCATTTTACATTTATACAGATGTAAGCTTTCATGAGAAAAATTTGAGACACTGAATCTACGATTACTGAAAATTTGGGGCAAAGCGGTTCCGTTCCCTGAACACTGGGAGTTCGGTTGTAGGTTCGCGCCTCGCCAGAACGGGCTGGTCACGTGGAGTTTTCCGGGTTTTCTCCACTTCTGTAACGCCTGAACAGGGACCAGTTACCCTTAAAAAGACCTACCGGAAGGCATCCCCATACGCAGATCGCCCTAGTTATGTTACAGAACGCAACAGCGTTGCTGTAACATAACTAAACAAACTGAAAATTTTGTTTGATTGGTTTTTTAAATTATATACATCAGTTTTAAAAGACAACTAAAAATCATTTCTAGGCCACTCATTGCATCATTTTCTTCTGCTGCTGCTTGAACATTAAGCATATGACAAACTTTAAAAAATATTTCTTTGCGGATCTCTTGATCTAGAAAATTATTATTCCAAAATTCGAGATGTCTAATTGTAGCCAAAATGGACCATTTTGTTTCATCATTTGTGAAATTCAAGATAGAATAATGCTTATTTACACTTTTTTAACAAGGCTATAACGAGTTGTTTTTCACAATATAGTCAAACCTCGATTCACGAACAAAACTTTGAACTCATATTTGCCCTCAATTGCCGAACAAGCTACTCTGCAAGAACCGGTCACATATGGTCAACACCCTATCGCTATACTTTCTATGTTAAAGAAAGTCGACGGCCCGACCAATCAATGACAGGGTTACCGATTCAGAAGTTAGTGGCGCCGAGATCGCCTTGAGTCAGTAGACGTCACGACAGGAATCATCGATGACGTTGCTAATGATAGAAAACAGAAAGTATTAAATTTAATATTGTGAAAATTTTATAAAATAGTGTAGGCTAGTAATATAGTGTTTATATATAAAACTTGATTGGCTATCGTGTGTGATGGTACCTCAAATCATCACACCAACTGTGGGGTGGGGTGGTGCACCATTCCAAACTGTAGGCAGGAATGAGGCGTTCACTATGGGCCTTCAGACATGAACATGACAGTCATCAGTGCCCAACTGAATCTGGATTTTTCACTGTAGATGACCCAATTCCATTGCACTATGTCATACGTAATGGCTGCTACAATACCAAATGTTCCTCACCTAGTCACCTCAAACTGGTACAAATAGAGGCCTGATGGCACCTCCTGTGTCCAGATAGCAGATAATATGGTTGACTGTATGCATGCTTGTCAGAAAACCAGCAGTACTCTCAGGCTAGTGATCTGACAAGGGCATCCCGAGTCCAGGTGCCATGTATGTGAGTGCTCTCTTACCCACTAGTCCCAACACCACCTAAGTGTTGTCAGAATAATCTAGATGGAGGGCTATTTGGCAAGATGACCATTTGGCTTATCTCAATCTGATAATCCTTCCTCTCTTAAACTTGGTTAGTTGTTCATATGGTCTTTGATTGTGACATAAAGGCATCTCTAGTTATAGAGTCCCTGTATAACAGATAAACTACAGACAGGATGCCTTTGCTTGCCTTTTTTATAGACCAAGGGGATGCACTTTAACATTTCCTGCTGGCATTAAGCAATGAGCAATCATGCTATAACTAATCATTTCCATATATGCATGCAAAGTTTTGCAGTGATACAAGAACTTTTTGATGCACTAATTTTTATGGATTGACAAAACGTTACACATACACACAATTGTCTGATTACTACCAAACTCAGCATATAGCTATGTCTCAGGCAAGTGTGTGAATTATTACAGTTGTGGTTCAAATTGCATGCCAGGTAATGCCACAAGAATGCTTTAAAATCACTATCCCAGTATCCTAATAAAAAAGAATAATAGAAAAGCAGACTCAATGTGTTCATAATTCTCAGTGTACCTGCTGTTTGGAGAACTTCAAATGCCAGACATACCTGTATGATGCAGTCAAAGTCCCTATACATAGCTGACAGAGTTTGAAAAAATTGCATCATTGGGATGAGGAAGGCAGAATGCCCACTTTATCGAAATGCCTGCCATTTGGGCTATTCTGGCTATGTATGTGAACCCTGACCAAACATCAGGGCACACATACATATATAGTACATACACAAACTGCAACAGCATCTGGTCTAACATTCAGAAATAGATGATAGTCTTCCTACAAAACCATTTCTCTTCCTATACCATTGGTAGGCAACTAGCAGAGGTAAATTTGCATTTTTGGTGACTTCTACACATCCTGCCACAGCAGCTCAATATCATCAACTTTATTTGCAGCTGTGTCATGACAGAGAAGAATGGACTGCTATAGACTGGCAGCTTATCATCTTTAGCAACAAATTCCAATTCTGTTTGGCAGTGGCATGCCATGGAAGCTGTGGAAGTACCGCTTTCCTTGTATTTTCTAAAATATAAATACATATCGTGGAACTATTTTCATATTTTAACACACTTTGACTTACTTAAAATTAATATTTTATTATAACCTGATTATGTATTTTATTACAAATTTCTATACATGTGAAAAACAATGATAAGATTGCTATTGTAAATTTGAATATAAATTTGTATCGTATATGCATATTCCCAATGGAAGTGCTATATTGTTGAATACAGGATAGCTTCCACAGTGAAAATATTTGAATCGTGTAAAGCAGCCAGATTACAGGCAGTCATGCATGCTCTTTACAGAGCACTGACCTCTCACGGTTTAGCTCATGGATGCTACACACCAAAATATCGTATAACGTTTCCAATGATTCTATCCACTCATAGAGAGCTATTTGACTAAGTGGATTGTTTTAAGTTTTAAAAAGTAAAGAATATTCAATGTTATTTTTACATACGTTTTTTACAAAGCTATATTTAATTATAATTACCGGTATATTGATAGATTTTCAGACAAAATTTTTACAATTTTTTATCACTTTTAGATGTTAATAATTTTAAATATTATGAAAAACAATTTTCCAAAGCGAGTTTTAATTCTTTAAATTACATAGTGAATTGCAATATTATATTCATGTTCAGACTATATTGGAAGTCACTCTTAGACATAAAAAATATTATAATTAATGACGATCTAAACATAGATGTACTAATCACTAATGTTGCTTTCAATAGAAAAAGAGGTTTTAAATACTTTGATGGAATCAATGACTGGTGATTTTTATGATAAAGTAATTAACGACTTTGCAGAAAAAAATTTCCGAATAGAGTTAGTTTATAAAAAATAATAAAAACAAGTTTTTATATCTTTGTTTTGTGTCAATTATCTATTTTAGAATTAAAATAAATAAACTGTTTATCTTTGTCATTTCCAGTATTTGTTTAAAAATTTTTTCATGGAAACAGCTTCACTATCATCAAATGTCACTGCACACCACTGCTGTTTGGTAATAAACAACCATCATGATACTGTGTGGATGATTACTGGTAAGTGCCTCAAATCTTATTTTTATTGTTGTTCAGCAAACTGTTCCTACTGTTGCCATGCTAGTCTAGAAAGCCATCTTGTATGACAGTTAATCACTGCTAATAATGGTGCAAGGGACATTAACATCACACCAGTACATTCAGGAAGTCTAGTATCCTCATGTATTGCCCTTTTCATAAAACAGCCATTTTCCAGCATGGTAATACTTGGCCACACACAGGCTAGGATTTCCCAGGAATGTGGCTGTCATGTTGTCACACTTTCTTCACCTGCATGATCTCCAGATTTGTTACCTACTGAGAATTTATGGAACTAGTTGGGACACCAGCTTTGGTCATCTACAAGTGTAAGGGATCTGGAGTGGTAGTTGCAATGTTTATGGGCAAATCTGTCACAAGACTTCATATAGTGTCTTCATGCTCGACCATATTCCCATATATCCAGGCAAGAGAAGGTCCTACAGAATACTAAAGGTTCCTTTAGTAGCTACCATTGTTCCATAGACAACTTTCACTTTGCTATGATATTGTAATCACTGATTACCATCATTATTACATTCATACAAAGTTTTACCTGATTACAACACATTTTCTTTTGTGCATAACTTTTTAAATCAATGTAGTGTAGTTTTAAAACCTGTTTAGTGTGCAGATTATCTGCTTTTCACATACTGTTTTAAAGACATTCTGGATAATGTCTTTATTATTTTATATTAAATAATGTTCTGAAAAATTCTATTGTTATTAATATATACATGTATGAAGAAATCAAGACAACGTTTTATCTTTTTTTACTGTTATGCATTTTATTGAGTTGCTACTAACAACAGTGAATGATTAGACATGAAGACAACAAGCTATCATTATAGCAATTAGGGCAATAAGGCCATCAGTGTCATGTTTCTTTTCATCACCGACACTGTACTTTTTCAAGGAAATATCATTGTAGACAAGACGACAGCTCATTTTGATGTCTATTTTAAGAATTAATAGTATCAAACTATACATAGAAAGGATTTGTTATTGTCTACATTAACTACAGACCTGGGATTAATGACAGTGGTGAATCAGAATGGCATTGAGCAATAAATAGCTGTAGTTTTACATAAAAATTCACAGAGGTTACAGCTTTTTGATAACAATACCATTTTTCATCACAACTTTCCAGGTGAACATTTGCCAATCTGATGACCTGCTTTATAAAATGCTAGGAGTTTATTTTAAGCCAGTTAACTATTAAGCTGTAATATGGGGGATAAACCACACCAAAATCACACACATGCACGCACATGCACACACACGTCTAAGACATCACAATAAAAGAAGTCAAAAATACTGCAGAGAAATGCAATAATGCTATTGAAAATTCCCATACAGCTCACCTTTTGAACACTTGTCTTATCATGATGGTAAATGGCATGTCATCTTTTACTTTAAATTGCCTGCAGCACAAACAAGCCACAAGGAGTTAAACTACACATTTCATATTGTCAGTAACAAAATTAGCGTTACAAATCAGTTTTGTGAACCATACTGTATCACAAAAATATATATATAAAATTAAAACTATATAATTCTTGCAAATGTAATCAAATTTATAAAACTATTTATTCTAAAAACATTGCATCATTTTAGGATTAATATGCTTCTTGGTTTAAACTTGATTGATTTATGAAAAAATTAATTCCCAAAGACATTTAACAAATTAAAGAAATATTTATAAGAACAATAAAATTTAAATGAGTCTGTGGCTCAATAACTTAATGAAAAATACAATGCATGTCAATATGGAATAAATCATATTTCATTGTGTAAAACATCTAAAAGTAATTTTAGAACAAGATTTTCAAAATATTAAGACAATGTTCAACATTGTCTAAGTTGGATGATTAGTCTTTAAAACCTTGTTCTATTATATAATGAGAGATGTTTTCCCTATGGCAGGTGCTTGATATGCACTTCACTCATTAGATTGGGTGTTCATAAGGTGTAGCCCATCATGGCTTTGTTGTCTTCATATGTGATCATACCAACATGATGTAAAATTTTTTTCTTTAACCAAGCTCAGCAGTGGCGGCCGGTATTCCCCTCCATGGCCGATCCACTCCTGAGCCAGGATAGCATCCTCCACTTTCAATGAGTGCCCTTGGCAGTAATCGGGACAGTGGCCCCAGAATTGGGGTTACTGCCGAGGTCAGATGTGGGAGAATTAGCCAGCTTGGGTGCAGTGCCTTGTACTCCTGTTAGATAAATTCTGTAATAAATAAATTATATTAATTTTAATTTAGTCATTAATTATAATTAGAACTATCAATAAAAATACAGTGACTCAAAAAAATGTTTACATCATGAAATGTTTTGCAGATGTTTGCATACAAAATGCTCTAATGATCAAATATCATGGAAATTAGTATTTGGTAGATGCAGTGTATAAAGAAAGAGCTTCATTTTAATATTTTTTAATATTCTTGTTTTTGGAATTTACACTGATAATAGTCTGGAAAATCATTTTGTACTTGTGGACTACATTTGAACAATTACTTTGCTGCCACTTTGTAGATTTTGGGATCAACTGTTCCTGCAACTGATATTACATGATACAAATGCCACCTTTCTTCTATTGACTCACATTATGTTTTGACTCTTAGAAATTAAAATGAGACTGTAACAACATCACCAGCCATAAACCCAAGTTGCCACCAGAGGAACTCCAAAAACTCAACAGACCCAGAAACACTGATTTGAAACCTTCTTGATTTGACCTCATGATGTTTGATTCTGTGTCCATTCGATACTACTGCACCATACCTTATGTAACCCAAAAGAATAAAAGCTAAGTTATTAACTCTTTTTTATAATCTGGTATCATACCATAAGATATTTCATCATCTCCTCCATATGGAACTTAATAATTAGTTATAAGCTGGTGCTACAGAAACCTTTGAGTTCACAACAAGAGCAAGATATCATGGACTATCAGTGCAGAAAATTGCTTCAAGAATGGATGTTAGCATTGGTAGTAACACTGAAATAAAAAAAAACTCACCAGCAATGGAAAATTTAAGGCCATAATAACCAAAAGCCTTGAATGCCACTAAAAAGAGGAACATTGTAAGAAATGTATTATGGAAAATAGAAATTTATTTTATGTAAAAAATTGGGCTAACAAGATATCAAAGCAATTTCTGAGTCTGAGCATTCCTGCTCAGACTCAGAAATGTAATAAAACAGCATTGAATTACAGTAGAGCCTCGATTATCCGACTCAACTGGGGACTGAGGTTGGTCAGATAACCGAAAAGTATGAAAAAATCCATTATTAGTGTAGTATATTATTATATGCCATGTAATTAGTATATCGCTATTAACCTACCTCGCGCTGAATTTTCATCAATGTTAAGCCTAACAAAAATTTTTTAAAATAATAATTGTCGCTATTGTATCGTTAAAAATTAGAAAATTAAGCCTCATTTAAATACTGGCTCCCTTTCATGGTTGAATGAGTGTTGCCAGCTAAAACACGTAAAAATAATATTAAAGTAGCCAAGACATAGCCAAATATTGTAGTGCCACATCACTAGCGGACATTTGAAATTTGCCGACTAGGACGGTCAGTTAATCGGGGCTCTATTGTACAAGAATGTGTAAAAGTTAAGAAACCTTTATTGATTGCAAGACACCAGAAACTGAGGATAAACTGCAAAAAATATAAAAACTGAACTGTAAATGATTGGTGCCATGTTATTTTCTCTGATAAAACTAAAATTAAATGTGGTGATTCAGCATGACAACAATCCCAAATACACTACTGAACATACATGAAAGTGGTTGAATCAATCAAGAATTGAGGTACTGCAGTGGTAATCACAAAGTCCAGACCTCAATCCCATTGAAAATGTATGGAATCAATGTATTGAAATAAATGCATTCATGATTTTTGGCATTATGTAAAGTACATTTGGGATGAAGTTCAAAACAATGTATGTTTACAATTGATAGATAGCACGCTAGAATGCATTTGTGGTTTTAAAGGCAGAGGAGACTACACCAAATAATAATTATTGTTCATTAAAATAATTATTCATATGGTAAGATACCCAATAATAATGATTTTTCTAGATCTAGACAGAAGCTCTCCCAGTTCTAAACATGAATGTATTGATTAAACATTGTTTGTTTATAAATAAACCCATCAAGACACCAATAACCAACAAAAAATGAGAAAATTTTAATGAAAATAAATGTTTTATTTCATATGAAATGTACTGTACATCTTCAGATCAAATACAAAATAGAGTAGATATTTAAAAAATAGAACAGAATATAGAATAAAATAACTACTCTATTTTGTAAAAATATACAGTTGACCCCCCATAACATGAGTTCCTATAGTTCGAATTCCTATATCACAGTGAAAAATTGAGACAGTATTCGTACAAACATGCCAAAAAAAAACTCATATAATTCGATAAAACATCATTGCCGACTCGTGTCGCGACAGGATTGATTGAATCTAGACCAATAGTGGATATTGTACAAACCGTTGAGTTTAAACGAGCAGCAGATCTACTAAGAACCATTTATTATTTAACGTCCATAAAGATTATTTTTATATTAATGATGTCTCCAAAGTTCAGCGAATTTTTTGCAAAAAAAATAATTTATCAGGAAGCACGCGAGTGCCATTCGATGGCCCACTCCACGACAAAAACAAGCTTAAATTAAGTAATGGCGTAGTCGAACGGTGCACGCTCGGTAAGTAATCCTACAATTTTTTGTTTATAGCATAGTTTATATGAATTATTCCGAAAAAAATTATACGTATTTTGGAAATGCTGAGTCAAATTAGTCTAGAATCGATTAATTTTATGGAAGAAACCTTTCAAACAGCCGTAGTCCGTAAACTGCATACGTGCCGGGCTGTGATTGGCTGGACTCATAGAAAATGGATTCATAAAAACTGGAACGTATCTACCATGTTATAGGGGGGGTCGACTGTAGTATGGAATTCACGCCAACATACTTACTTGAGAGAAAAAGAATAAGTCAACAAAAAATTGCATTAAAGTACTTTTTTAATTAAAAATGTTTTCAAAAATTTTATGTTAAAAGTTTGTATTCTGTTTGATTAACGTTGTTCCAATTCTGTACTTCAAAAGTTTTGTTCAGAAAAAGTCTTCCATTTCAGTTACCTGATGATGATATTATTTATATTAATATCGAAAGTGAAAACAATGAAATTAAAAAAAGCCCTTTAATGCTGTTTTTTCTTGACTTATTGTTTCTCTCTCAAGTACTCTATTTTTTATTTGATCTGAAGACGTCCGTTTAATACAAAAGAAAACATTTATATTCATTAAAATTTTCTCATTTTTTGCTGGTTATTGTTGCATTTATGGATTTATTTATACAGTAAGACTCTGCTTAATGCTGATTCAATATAATGTGGTCTGCTCGAAGCCTAAAAAAAAAGCTCTAAATTTATGCTGATTCAAATTATCACGGTATTTTATTGATTCGTATATAATACGATTATTCCCAAATATGAACCAATCAGCAAAAGATGGCAATTCGTCATAGCACTGTACTTTCTTTAAATCTATGTTTGTTTGATGCAATTTTGGAAAAAATATAACAACATGGGTGCCATAGGTAATATCAACTTCGCTTGGTAAGAATTAACTGATAACTGCATGAACAAAGTGTGGAAGAAATTATGCTTAAGGTATCCAAGAATTCTCAATGAGAAGAGCCTATCGCTGTATCGTCAGGTTGACCAAATTGTCAACCTAAGCAATACAGAAGAATTAGGAGATGTAGACGAGCAAGATATTTAGGAGTTACTGCAGGTTTCTGTTGAGAGCCTTACCAACTGGCAAGAACAAGCAATTCATGTAGAACTGGAAAATAGAGATTCTGAAAACAAAAAATCCAAAGAATTTCTGTACAGATTTCCTTAATAAAAGTTTGATAACAATAACCGAAATCATTGATCAAATTGTAGTGAATGATCCAGATTTTGAAAGGAGTGCAAAAGCAAGACGAGGCATTTTGGATGCAATATCTTGCTACTGATATTTGTTTAAAGAAAGAAAAAGAAAATGACAAATGAAACTACATGACTTTATTGCAAAAAAACAAGAATTTCAGAAGAGCCAGGACTTTCATCACAAAAAATGAACTTTAGATTTCTGTGATATGTTTGTGTGTTATTTAACATATATTATTATGCAAATTAATATAAAAATAACTTAAAATTAAAGTAAAATTTGTTTATTTTTGGTTGTTTGTTCCCCTTTCCCAATTTACTCTGTGTTAGGATGACCTTGTTTAACACTGTTTCATTTAGCACTTTGTCATCTAGGAACGTATCCACCGCATTAAGCAGGGTCTTACTGTACATAAAATCAGTATAGTAGTAATGATTGTGTGGTTTATTTAAAAATTAAATTATTTATATCATATGTAATTAAGGACAAGAAACACGCATCACCATTAAACATTAAAAGTTTCTATCATTTTTAGAAGTAGTTTTTCTTTAGGACAGATCATCCAAATATGTAAACATTTTTTTGAATGATTATAACATTAAAAAAAGAGGAAAATACAAAAATTAAGAACTGAGTAAATTCTTAAAGGAATTCAAAAAGTAAAGAAAAACAAACTTTTAACTAGTATGATCAGAAATAGCTGTTGATCAGTTTAAAAAAATTATAGTAAAGAATCATAAAAGAACAAATACATTATCTTAAAGTAATTTAACAAAATTATTTAACTAATCTACATGCTACTTGTCCATTTATTAATACATTACGTTCATTTCATAAAGTTTGTAATTTTCAATTTTACTTTCCCAGAAATATCATGTTAACTTTAGAAGTCTAATAGTAAAATATGAGATTTATTTTTATAGCATCAGCTCAGAATTTTATGCCAATTTTCTGTGACAATAAAATATGTAAATGTCTGTTGCTTTAGACATTTACATAAACATTTATGTATTTTATAAATCTTTGTGTTTGGAAAACATTACACTAAAGATTTACAGTCGACCCCCCCTATAACACGGGTTCTTATAGTTCGGATTCCTATATGACGGCAAAAAAATTGCGACGGTATCTGTACAAACATGGTAAAAAAAACTCCTATAATTCAGTAAAACGACATCGGGCAGCCGAACTACTTTCCGCCATCCAGCGCCACGCTACAGAGAGTTTAGGCGAGTAAGTTGAGTTTACTGTCGTCTGTACAGTATGTAAATTAGTTACCGTAAGACTAATACAGCACTAATTTTATACATTTCTTGTGAAAGAAACATTTCTTATTCAACGGCCATAAAAATTATTTATATTAATGATGTCTCCAAAGTTCAACAAAGTTTTCGCAGAAAAATAATTTATCAGAAATTGCGGCCGCCATTTGGTGCGCTGCTGCTTCGTGACGAAAACAAGCTTAAGCAATGGCAACATCGAACGGTGCACACTCAGTAAGTAATCCTACAATTTTTTGTTTATAGCATAGTTTATATGAATTATTCCAAAAAAAATTATACGTATTTTGGAAATGCTGAGTCAAATTAGTCTAGGAATCGATTAATTTTATTTAAGAATTTTTCAAACAGCCGTAGTCCGTAAACTTCACACGTGTCTGGCTGTGATTGGCAAGGTCTCCTAAAACATCAATTTCATAAAAAACAGAACGTATCTACCGTGCTATAGGGGGGGGTCGACTGTATTTTACTATTTTGTTCTAAGTTGACAGTTACGGAATAATAATTTAAATTTTATTAAACCAAAGTTGTAATAACATCATCTTTAACTTTGATTTCATTAGGAAAAAAATAACGTAGTAAAGTAATATTGTTGTATGTAAAAAAACAAAACATTGCATAGTCAAGCTAAAGCTATGACTTTATAGCTAATCAATTGTGTGTCATATGCTTTAAGTGGCAAAGTTCTCTGAAATGACTTCATCATGTAGATAGAAGATAATTCCTGAAGATTTATATTTTCAAGATACAAATTCAAATAAGACTGTTTAATATCATCACTTAAAGCATAAATTGAACTTAAAAGAAAATGAACATATATTTATTGTGACATAGTCACAATGCTGGGCTGCAATTTTTAATCATATTTTTAATTTATTTAATTTAAAATATATGCTCTCCACCTAAAATTTGTACTGCACATCATACTTTTCCATTACCAATGAAGTCATGCTGATCATCTAACTCCTTTCAGGGAAAAATTTTTTAATTGAAATAGCTTGATTTCAGGCTTACATTGGAAGTTCGTATATAGTTAACCAGGGCCTTCAGCCCCTAAGCTTTCCATATATGGACTCAGCTTTCATCTATGTGACTCTGTCCTTGAGATTAAGGAAGAACAGATGAACGGACAGATGACAGTGGGAATTTACAGGTATACAATTTTTTCAAATTGCAGCCAAATGAATGGAAAAGATTAAAGGTGACATATGAGTATAGTTATCTTTGGCGACTTTGAGAAAAATTTTAATAGCAGAAAAATATGTCTGGTGTACAAGATTTTTCACATTTCCTAAAGATGTTCTTGGTGAATTTGGACAAAAGTTGTTTGATGGCTTTGTAATTGCAATTTCAAATCAGCATATAATCCACACCATCATATAACTTTAATATTGCCCTTTAAACACTGACAATGTCCCTATTGGTTGAAATGAAAATACAATAAACAGAATCATTAATCTAAATTCAAAATCAAGTTGATTTGATTCTGAAAGCTTCACAAAATCCTAATTAAAACATGATCATCAGTAAAAATTAAATTAAATTCATATAAGTTTTAATTAAAAATAATTATTTAGTATAATTAATAACTAAAGTACTAAATCAAATGCAAAGGACTTCACACTTTGGTCCTAAATTGCTGTAGGTTCATATTGGTTAGAGTAGAGGTTACTAGGATTTTATGGTTAGGGTTCTGAGGAATTCTAACTGTAAACTTCTAGCTTCATAAAAAAGCATAAAAACATAGCTGTTATGAGAAAACAAAAAAAAATTGCTAAGAAAACTCAAATAAATTGAAATTATACAGTCTATAGCATGCAAAATAGTTAATACTGACATGCAAACAATGTGCAGAATCACACTGGAAAACATGTATTTATAAAAGACTGCTGAGAATCTGTGGTAGAGTTGTTTGCAAGCTGATAAACATAACAGAAATGTTCTTAATTTGTTAAATTGCCCAAGAAAAGTTACTTTCTGAAAATCTAAGAAGAAAAATTTTATTGAAACACAAAGACAACCAAGAACACCCAAAGAACTGAAATGTCCAAAATCTATAGTTCACACAAATTTAGAATGTTGTACAATTGACTAATTGCACAACATTCTAAATCTGTGAAAAAACAACATAAGGTAGGAAACAAATTCTGAATCCTACAAACTAGAAGATTATCAGTACATACATTCATAAAAAAAAAAAAAACTGGAATGTAAATGTGTCAATTTGATAAATTGGGCTACAACAGAGCTAGAGAAACAGTACTTATACTGTACATCTATGATGCAGAGATACATGAAAAGAATGGGCTATGGTTTCTATCATGCTAAAGAAAAACCATTTCTTACTGCAATAAACAAATGTTATCTTACTTAGGAAAAAAGCATCAGAAAGATGTCTGTGAGGAAGAGGGAGCAAATTTTATGATCACACAAATCGTGTTTCAGAATTGTGTAAGAAAATAATACAAATAAGGTTGTGATGAAAATGAGAAACGAAGCCAACAACTAAACTGTTTTGCACAAGCATTGCAAAAAAGCCACTTCTGTTGGTGCCTGGGGCTGCATGTCAACAAACAGCATCAGAAAAATGTTTCTATAATAGCACCATCACAACTGAAGACAACATTAACATTCTTTAAACCTGTTTACAGCCATTTAAGGAAGTTTTCCCCCCAAAGCCCCATACCTTACAACAAGACAATGCAAATCCATATAAATGAGGTAATACAGACTTGGTTTTAAAGATATAACATTTATGTTCTGCCATGACCTGTTAAAAGCCTCAATCAAGAATATTTTGTAGTATTTACAAAAAAGTAAGTCAGTTTAGGGCCTAAACCATTGAATAGCTTTGAATCTTTATAGCAGAAGAATGGGATAGAAATTCATTATAAAAAGTAGTAGTAGTAGTAGTATCAATGCCTCACAGGACTGCTGAATTAATTAAAAAAATACTTGAAAGTGGCAAAATATTAATATTTGGGTATTAACTTACAGGATATGATTTTTTTTGGTCTGTAGATTTCTGATTTGGAACCAATTAGTATTTTTACATATTTATATACCAAAAATAAAACTTAATAGAAAATGCTAATTGTCTTCCTATTAAACTAATACCCTCATTTTTATATCACTATCCCTCTCTGTAAGCAATGTTTGCAATATTGCAATGTAACTTCTTTGCATTTGACCTTGTTATAAGCTATCCTTTATCCTTTAATTACAGTAAGATTTGTGTCAGTGGACTGATGGAGTAAGGCAATGGAACACATGGGTGATCTGCCAATGGGGTAACTTCTAGTAGGACTTCCTATGTGGAAACTGGATTCTGTTTAGGTGTAGAAAACCCAGAACACTGCTTGGTGAATAAAACCTAGAACACTGCTTGGTGGCCAGCCCATTATTCAGGCACGAACCAATGACCAACTACCAGTGTTCAATGGTTTTATTTATTCAGCCACTGGTGGGCTTGATTTGTGTCACTGTATGGACACCCTGTACTGAATTCCTACAACCTAAGAAAATTAAATGATAAAATCTAAGTTACTTAAACATACCCATCTCCAGCCCCCATGCCTGGAGGTCCAATTTCTTTCTTATTTCCATCTGTCAAAGACTCTAATCCTAATTCAGCCAGGGCACGGAGAGCCATCAAAGCAGCCTGATCATGAGAAGCTTCTATTGTTGGTCCTGCCCCATGTTTGACTTGAGGTGGAATCGTGGTCAGAGATACTAATGATAAATATTCTAATTTGTTACCCTGGAAAAAAAGTTACTTTCAATATACTGTAAATTTTCAATTATGTAAATAAACATTAAAGATAACATACAAATTCATTTCATTCATTCATGTTTAAAAAATTTTTGTTCATAAAATCATAATATAATAAATTTATAACAAAAATCATCATTAAATAGAAATTAAAATAAAAAGTTCTTTTCTAAATTAACTTTAACTAATTACAGTTTCAGTAAATTCTGCCAAACTAATAAGCTTCAATAAAAAATAAAACAAGTTCTACTTCTACATCTAAACAAACATTTTTTAAAACTAGCAAAATAATATGCATATTTAAAATGCTGTACTATTGCAATTTAATACACAATGCTTACTTTTTTGTTGAAAAAATTGTGTACAAATTTAAGTTAAATACAAACAAATGATATTAAAAAATATTAAATAAAACACAAAAGCTGGATTACATTTAAACTCAAAACAACAAAAAACAATAAATTCCAGCAAATTTGGTTTACTGCAAAGATTTTCAACCTTATTGAGAGGTTTACTTATGCTACAGTAAATTAAATACTCCAACATCTACATTGGGCAGAAAAAACAATTTATACAAATTTGGCCAGAATTTATGTTTGTTGTCATTTTAATTAAAAGACTCATCCATCAATATTGTCAACCAACTGTGAAAAACTTATAAATATAATACAGTAGAACCTCGATTATCCGGATTGTTCAAAATAAACAAAAATTTACGAATTTGCTGATTTGCACTTGGCGAATTATGATACTGTTTATGTACGTGATTGAATGCATAATTTTTTTTTGTTTCAACAATGTCTCACCCGGCACAGTGGCCGTAAACTCTTAAATATATTTTGCGTCGTAATAAAAATATAACTTGACATATGTATTTATAAAAAATTTTATTTTCAAATTACATCATTTCTATGACCAAAGGCGGAGTAAGTCATGGGCAACGTGGGCCAATGTGGGCGTCTCGAAGGTTTATGCATTACTTGAAAGCCGCGAACATAGCGAATAAATTTTACTCGTCATAAAACGATAAATAGTTTGTCAAACTTTTATTCATAAAAATGCAGTTTCAACTGCTTTTTATTTTATAAAATCCGTCTTCTTGCGCCACCAGAGGGCCTTTTAAACAATAGGTAGTCTGTTAGCGNTTCTCTTTAAATAATAATCGTGGCATTAAAAATTATTTTTCACAAACAAAATAGATATATTAATAAATAAAAAACAAAAAAATTATACATTATTTCCAAAGTTTGTTTTAATATAAAAATAATGACACATAGCGACATCTAGTATCAAAAAACGTTTTTGATACTAGATGTAAGTAGCTCAAGATAACAGGGAACAGTATTTCAATCAGCTTGAATTTACTTGACCCTTTCAGTCAAATCAAAGTAACAAATCTTATTTGTGTTTTTATCAATATTAACCTACAATTAGATACACCAAAGGGAAGTGTATAGTTGTAATTCCAATTTAGTGACAACTACACATTTTAAAATACTTTTACTTTCTCAGCTGTATACATAATAAGGGAAAGTATTGGAATCATGTCAGATTTGATGTTCTGGTTTTTTTTTTTTTTTTTGCAAATTTCGATGTTGTGAGAATCCCTAACCCAAAAAAGTCAACTAAAATTCTATAGTGTGTATGTGTATGTTGACATCTATTTTGTCTAATATCTCAGAATGAGTAAAGACTAAAATAAAATTTGGAATGATAGCTTGTATATAAGGGGCATTGATGCTATTAAACTTTGATGGTTAAAAATCAAGGGATGAGAGATAGAGGGGTGTGTATCATAGTCATATCTCAAGATAGGTTGAACTAAACAAAGATTTTACTTGTTATTAGCATTTACAGTTTTTTTTTCTTTTTATAAAATTCATTGCTACCATCAAAATTAACCTTTTTGCCATTTTATAATAATTAATCACATAAAATGTTTTTGGGCTGCAATTTGGAAAAATTTTAGACCTATAAATTCCCACTGTCACTTGTCTTTCCTTAATTTCAAAAATGGAGTTAGATGAAATCCAAGACCAGACATGGAAACCATAGGGGCAGTAGACCCCATTAACTATATACAAACTTCTAATGCAAAATGGAAGTCATGTTATTTTAATACAAAAATTTTCCTTGAAAGGTGTTAGATAGATAACTGGCACAACTCTATTGTTAAAAGGAAAGTACAATGTACAGAGGCAAGCCACTACTAATTAGCAGTGAAGAGTATTGCAGCTCAGCATTGTAATGATGTCACAATAAATAATTGCTTGTTTATAATACAATCTCTTAACAGCTGGGAAAGTTATGCAACTCATTGCTTGATTTTTTTACTATTTATAAAAAAATTTCACCCAATTAACAAACACGTAGAAAAAAAGCTTTTATGTAATATAATCCAGTTTGTACATATAGCCTGACTCTTTCATTTAGACCAGGGGTCACCAAACTACAGCCCGGAAGCCAGATCCAGCCTACAAGGTCAGTTCATCTGGCCCGCCACCACACTGTGCCATAAATGAGGTAAAATATAATTATTTCTTTGGAAATATCATAGTCTGTAGATAAACTTACTATGTATAAAAAATTAAAATAAGTGTAAGTATAAATGCCAAAATTGCTCCAATCTGATTTTTGCATCTGACAATAATATAAATTTTAGGAAACTTTTTGCGACTTTGGATATCAGAGTGCTTTTTGTATAAGTATCTACAATGAAGTTCCTAACAAATGCCATTACAAGCTTGCTGCAGCCATCGTGTTCGTGTATTGGTAAATAAATATGTTGGTTGTCTTTAATTTTTGTGTATTCAGTGTGCTGTATTGAACAAAACGGTTATGCGGACCACGCTTGTCATTTTCTCAGTTATCTGGCCTGCCGCAAAAAAAGTTTGGTGACCATGATTAAGACTAAAGCTTAGTGAATCATTGTAAAACAAATCTGAATGATAACAAACATTATAGTAAACTAGAAAGAATATAGTTTCAAATAAACATAATTAATTGACAGAAGGTTTTATTAAAAATAACAGGCCCTTAGAAAATGAGGCTTATCAATTTCATTCCAATTCAAATTATGTAAGAAAGCATTTGTGTTTTAATTTTGTAACATATCATCAATTCTTTTTAGAATTTTGTTGCTAGTAAATGATTTTAACTCTTTCTCAGTCACTGTCGCATCCAATACATCCATGCACAGTGATTACTTTTTTTTTTTGGCTTTAACATATGCCAAAGTTGAAAAATGCTCTAGAAATTTTTATTTTAATGTGTCTGATACATTCACTATTGTTGCATGTTTATTTCACTATTTCTCCAATAAATGGCATTATGTTACAAAAATTATTTAGCCATTTCTGGTGGAATAATTTAATTTTGTTTTGGAATCTGAAATTGTCTTTCTAACTTGTTTCTGACAGTTTTTCTTTCAAACAAATTAGTTTGTGAGAAGTTATATTATAAATTTTTGATGGATATTGACTATTTTAGACAAATTAGAGTTATTGTTTAGATTAACTGTTACTGTAATCAGAGTTACTGTTAGACAAAGTAATTACTGACATAAATTACTTTTCAATACTGATTTAGTAAAAATTATTTTATTCCTAGAAAAAAAACATGTAGAAACAAACTTTTCATCAAAATTAATTATATATCAAATATCAATGATGAAAAATTGATACCTTTTGGATGGGCCACCCTGAAAAAAATAAGACTGAGAAGGGATTGATATTTGTTTGAACTGTTAATTTTCTTTCGTTTTAACTTGTAATTAAAATTAGCTATATTCAAATTTTAAATCCTGTCTCATTGCAAAATCTGTACCCCTTTCAAATTATTTTTCAAACACAGATGTTCCATGGGTTATCAACATGAAATTATAGTTATTTTAACTGATGATAAATGCTCAGAAATTATAACAAATTAAGATGAAAACTAGGAGGATGTTACAGGAAAATCAATCATGTAATGTAACCAAAGGAACAGTTAATGGAAATTCTCAAGATTTGTGTTGAAATGTAAAGAACATAAATTTTCATCCTAATATCTGTTTTTTATACTTCATTGCAATAAACTTCTGAAAAATATAGTTCAAATGCATTAAAAAACATTTTATTATAAATTTAAAAATTTTTTGTTTTAATTTACAGTACAGTAGACCCCCTATAACACGGGTTCATATAATGTAGATTTGTATGTTCATAAAAAGCTTTAGTACAATCTGACATTATTTTGGAAGCACAACTTATTGGATCTGTCATGTAAAAATTACACTCCTTTAAAGTAAAGGGTGTGTCACTTAAACTTATCTTACCATTACTAATTGGTACCCACGTGTTTTTTATCACTTGATCGGTATTTCTAAATTGTGGCGAAAAAATTGCGACCGCATTCATATAAAGACGCTAAAAGAGACTCGTAAAATGTGGTAAAACATCATCGTCGACTCGTGTCGCGACAGGATTGGTTGAATCTGGACCAATAGTGGACGAGCAGCCAAACTACTTACACACTACGGAGAGTTTAGGCGGGTAAGTTGAGTTTACTATCGTCTGCACAGTATATAAATTAGGTACTGTAAGTCTAATTCAGTACTGTAATTTTATACATTTCTTGTGAAAAAACATTTCTTATTCAACGGTCATAAAAATTATTTCTATTAACGATGTCTCCAAAGTTCAACGAATTTTTTGCAAAAAAATAACTTATCAGAAAACGCGGCTGCAGTTTGGTGCGCTGCTCCGCGACAAAAACAAGCTTAAGCAATGGTGTGGTCGTCTTCATTTTATAACCTATAAAATAAACATTAGTTAAAGGCACCTTTTAAGTGCATAAGAAATATAAAATTATCAAATATAAAACTTATAATTAAAATGCTTTATACTGTACAAATATCAAAAGTTAAAACCAACATTTAATATATAACTGCAACAAAGGCAACTCCCTCAATTGGGAAGTACCTCAATAGTGTGTAATGGCACTTGGTAAGTAATCCTACAGTTTTTTGTTTATAGCATAGTTTATTCAGATTATTCCCAAAAAATTATACGTGTTTTGGAAATGTTGAATGAAATTAGTCTAGAATTGATTAATTTTATGGAAAAAAAACCTTTCAAACAGCCGTAGTCCGTAAACTGCACATGTGCCGGGCTGTAATTGGCTCATATATTTGAGGATTCCTACAACGTGAAATTCTTATAAAGCGGAACATATCTACCGCGTTATGGGGAGGTCAACTGTATAGCATATTTAAATTGTTTAACAGCATACCATTTGAAAACTACTGCACTAAATGTAGGTTTAGTGAGAGAAATAGAAATAACAATAATCTTCCTGCATTCGTAACCGTCTTCAAATTATGGATAGAATGATAATGTTCTGTCATCTGTAACGTCTTTAGTCCTCTTCACGTCGTCACCAACCGTCGTCTCCCCTTACTTGTCTCCCTCATCTCCTTTGCAACCACTCGTTTATTTTCTTAACAGTTTAGGAATTCTACTTGTCTAACCCCCACATAAATTATAATTAACAGAATTATAAACAACTAAATATAATATTTTAGCCTTTTATCTGTTCCTTTCAAATAAATGGTATAATTTAAAATTGTGAGGCCAGGACCTCACCCTCAGATAGGAAACCAGCTGCTGAACCAGAGTCAATAAGCCGGTGACTTATTTTTGAATTGGGACCACAAAGAAACGGGGCGCAATATGACTTAATTGTTGTATTCCAAGATCTAATCGACACATTCCTGATTGTAGATCGTGAGAGAGAGCAGGAGATTGACAGCTGGGAAAATTTTGGCAGTCATTTTACACAGAGTTCAAAGCAGAATATGAGAACGCTCCTTCAGAGGGGGTGGTGACTGGGACTGTATGAACCCAGTTGCGTCTTCTCTGAGACAAGAGAAAAACACATTGGCCAAAATTTATGGGACAGTCACTCAGGAAAGAGCATGACCCAACCCTGGGGGAGTGGTTCGGTCAGAGGTGTTCAACAATCCTGTGGCCTGAATCACATCCCTAGAACAGATCAGGGACCAATAGAGTTATGGGAAATTACAGTTTCACACCAACCAAAAAGCAGGATTTTGGGTGAAGATTGTATAAAAATCCCAAGGACACAGGGAGATTGGGAGACAAATAGTAAGTCCTCCAGACCAAGCTCACCCTTGAAGCACCAGAGACAAACTTTCTCCAGGTGTGAATCTTGATGGAGACGACTCCCCTCTGCATTGCGTAACATCTTTTCAACAAGACAGCAATAGTATTGCCTCTAAGCATGTTTTGTCTCAATATTGAAAACCAGAGTGACAAAATTAATGTGGTTAATTTTGTCACTCTGGTTTCTGTGTGGTTGTTTGTGTCCAGCAACCTCTGTGTGGTTCTCTGTGTCCAGCAACCACTACATGTAAACCAGCAACCCCCATATGTACAAATGACTCTTGCGTCATCCTGACCAAGTTAGGGAAAAGACAAATGTCTCTACCTCCCACCAAGGCAGATCTGTATGTTGCTGCAACATACTGTAAGGTGATACATTACAGTGGTGTTGGATCCTCACAAAATGTTTTATAACTAATTTCTGGATTTCCAGGATCTAAGGATATGGATTCATTTTCTGGAAATATCTAGAATAAAAAAATCTACATATAAGGAATAAGGAACCCCACCTTCTCATATGTAAAATTGCAAAAGTATTAATCTTTAGAAGTTATGAAACCTGGAGCAGTTTTCTCTTTTAAAATGAATGTTTAACTTGGTATGAACTTCCAAAATTAGCTGACACTTGATTTGCTAGATACCATTCAATTACAATAATATTCTAGTTATAATTTTTGGATACAAATAAGCAGCTATTGCATCAATACTGACTGTTTTTCTCATTAATTTTAAGATTGTGAAGATTTTGATGTTTATAAAATTTTCAAATCAATCCTCACTGGCCTGAAAAACATCTGCAGTAAATGATGTGGAACAACTAACTGAACATTTAATTTTCTCAACATTTTGCCTAATTTGTCAAACTTTTCATTCATTTATGGTTTATTTCTTGTTCAACATTACAATATTCACACCATTGACCAAGTCTTTAATGATATTTAATTTTTACTCTAAATCAACATTTTTTTCACTTTGTAACTTTCTTCATTTTATAACCTATAAAATAAACATTAGTTAAAGGCACCTTTTAAGTGCATAAGAAATATTAAATTATCAAATATAAAACTTATAATTAAAATGCTTTATACTGTACAAATATCAAAAGTTAAAACCAACATTTAATATATAACTGCAACAAAGGCAACTCCCTCAATTGGGAAGTACCTCAATAGTGTGTAATGGCAACATTAAATATGTATGAAGAAAACATTTACTTAAATTTTTACACCCAAACATTCTTTAATATTTGTCTCAGCAAAAACTATATATTGTTATTTGAAGTTTTTTTCTTTTACAATAAAAAAAATCTCAAGCAGTAGCAAATTTTGCTATGCACTCCAAACTTTTGGTATACATGGCTGATAATAACTAAAGTGTGTGACTTCATAACAAAACTGTCCAAATTGAAGGATGATTGTACTATATAAGAATTAAAAAAAATTAATATTACCTTTGGAAAATCTGTAAAATGTACTTGAAAACCCAATACATCTGCTAAATACATTAATTGCTGTTTGGGACGTACAGGAGCTTGAGGAGTCAAAGGTTTATGTCCAGATTTACGTATCGCTTCAGCAGTTGGAGAAACTCCTATAATTAAAAGAAATTTATAAATTTCACAATTTTTATTTTTCAACAGAAATTTTACTATTTAATAAAAAAGTTCTTAACGTTATTACAATAAAATGTTAAAATAAATTTTATTTTTATAGAGTAATATTATTACTCTATAAAAATAAAATTTATTTTAACATTAGTAGTGTCTTGCCCATGTATATCATACTTTTCCTATTAACAATAGTCATGCCAGTCATTTACCTAACTCCATTCTAGAAAAAAGTTTTGAATTTAAATAATATGACTTTCGGTCCAAACTGGCACTCTAGAAAATTGAAGTTAGTATCTGAATGACATAATTGACAGTCTATGCTCAATTATAAAATAACTGTAGGTTTGAATCTCTCTTTAAAACATTCTAAAACATTCTTTTTGGGCTGCTGCAATTTGAAAATTGCAGATCTATAAATTTCCACTGGCATCCATCTGTCTATCCTTCCTTTATTTTGAGAATAGAATTAAATAGATGAAGGTCAAGAACAGATATGGAAAGCTTAGGTGCAGGAAGCACTGATTAACTCTACATGAACTGCCAGTTTGGACCGAAAGTCATATTATTTAAATTCAAAACTTTTTTCTAGAATGGAGTTAGGTAAATGACTGGCATGACTATTGTTAATAGGAAAACTATGATGTACATGGGCAAGACACTACTAAAATTGAGAGCAAGTAAAAATTGCAGCCCAGCATTGTGATGATGTCACAAATAATTGCTCATCTACTTTTAGACCTAATTATAAATTAATTTTGGAAAATTTACATAACATTAAATGCAAATTGTCATCTAAATCACTTCAACTATTATAAAAAAAAATTCTTCATTAGCTTCATAAATTTTTTTGTTCAAAGGAATCTCCAGTTTTTTCCCCAAATTTATAAAATTAATTGTATAAAAACCAATAAATAAATGTTTATATCTCAATTATATACACTAAAAAAATAAGCAATTCCTAAAGAAAAACCAGAAAGCTCAACATTATTGCATCTGGAACACTTTATTCCCTCAATATTTTTTCTACTTGAAACATCAATTAAGTAATCTTAAACACTATGTAGTGTAATAAATTCAAACACTTGGCATTTTATCATCTTTATTTAGTTCAGTTGATATGTGTTTAAAATACATGTATCAACTGATCGTAAAAGATGGATGTACTGACAGTACATCCATCTTTTAATTTTGTCACCCAAAAAAGAAACAATGAAGATAGACAATAAATATGCAAGCTGTATAAATATGTATTCATCCATGATATCCAGTTTATAAATAACCCTGAGTTGGCTGAAAAGGGGCATGTTACGCCTGAAACATGTATTTTAAGCACGTATCAACTGAACTAAATAATAATGATAAAACGCCAAGTGTTTGAATTTATTACACTACATAGTGTTTAAGAATCAAAGAAGAGTCACAACACGGTTCCAGATTAACAAAAATCAATTAACTAATCACCTAGACATAACTAACGTGTGACTTCAGATTCTACCCACTGACACTTTCTAAGTCTAAATTGAACTTCTGCTTCTCCAAAGTTAACTAAGTTTGTAAGGAATAGAGTCCAATCATCTTTTGTTTTTGATTTGGATTAATTTATATTCTGATTTTTATAACTTTTGTGTGGTTTATTAGCACTAACATAATTTTGTTTATTTATTTTTTTTGATTAATCCATTTGTATATTGCTCATTCAAAACATTTTCAATAAATACTTGTTACTCTTGATGCAGAGCAAAGTCAATCATTTTTTGATTTTTGTTGCAATAAGCATTGTTTCAAATTAATCTGTTTGTGTTATTTCTGTCAGTTTCTGAAGTCCAGGCCTGGCATCCGACCAACCCTCGCCTTTTGTTGTTCCTTTAGGTTTAGTTCTGGGCTTATAAATGATGTGTTACAAGTTTGCTGACTACTCTGAAATTATACTCTGTAAACTCTTTACTGCTAAAGTACACTCTACAAACATTCCTTATTAATGGGGTAGATTCAATTCCACTAAGTCATAAATAAATCACATTTGAATAACAAATCCTTCAAATTTCTTTTCCAAGTTTAGTATTGCTCCAATTTCCAAATGAACTTCTAATCTCTGATTGAAATACTTTATGAAATCATATTCTAAAATCTAAGTTGTGCTTAATTCAGTTTGTTCTAAACTGAATTAAGCACAACTTAGATTTTACACTGTTAGATTTAACAGTGTAACAGTGTTATGTATAACATTTAAAAATAAAACAGCGTTAAATTCTGCAGATTTGTTAAAGCAGAATCCTGACACTAAGAAACATCACACAAATATACATGCAAAACATTGTTATACTATTACAGTAGAACCTCGATTATCCAGACTAATTGGGGATGAAGGTAGTCTGGATAAGGAAAAATCTGGATAATCGAAACAAATACTTTAATTTGTCTTTTAATGATAATACAACACGTTTTCTTTTTGATGACATATCGGTAATATTAAAAGTAAATACTGTATTTAAATCGTGATCAAATTTTCAAGAAACAAACGTTCGTATTGAATTTGGACTACTACTGACCAACGCTAACAGACTACCTATTGTTTAAAAGGCCCTCTGGTGACGCAGGAAGACGGGTTTTATAAAATAAAAAGCAGTTGAAACTGCATTTTTATGAATAAAAATTCGACAAACTATTTATCGTTTTACGACGAGTAAAATTTTTTCGTCGCGTTCACGGCTTTTAAATAATGCATAAACCTTCGAGGCAGGAGGCCCTTCGGACCGCGAGGCATAGGCTATGGCCCACGTCGTCCATGCCTTACGCTGCCCTTGGTCATAGAAATGATATAATTTAAATATAAATTATTTATAAATACGTATGTCAAGTTATATTTTTATTACTACGTAAAATATATTTAAGAGTTTACGACCACTGTGATGGGTGAGACGTTGTTGAAACAAAAAAGTTATGCATTCCATCACGTACATAAACAGTGTCGTAATTCGCCAAGTGCAAATCAGCAAATTCGTAAAATTTTTGTTTATTTTGAACAATCCGGATAATGGAGGTCCGGGTTATGGAGGTTCTACTGTATTGCCATCATCATTGTCATGCTTAAACATTTTAATCAAAAATGAAATTGCTTATAATGCTATGAACTTTTATAGAGATATTAAAATGTAAGTATTAATTTATTAAATAAAATTTCAACAATATAACAACAATATATTTGTCTTGGTTTAGACCAGGACACCCTTCCACTTGAAGGTGTAATAAATTATCACAAACAAATGAGTATATATTTATGTAGTCTAATATGTATGTAGTCTAATAAAATTATTCCAAATTTGTCCCTTTGTCTACTTAAAACTTATTTTTGCAAGTGGGTACAGAACAGAGCAATTGCTTTGAAAAATAGTGAAAAGGAGAGCAATAGTAGGAAAAAAATTGAAAAAGTTTGGTTCAGACAGAAATATAAATTATATGAGGGCCATTCAGATAAGATGAAAGTTTGATAACCAAAAATGAGCATGTTTGTCCACTTGAAAATTCTTTCAGCAACCAGACTGTCATAGCCCATTCATTCAATAGCTAGATTTTCACCTTGTGACTATCACCTGTTTGAGTGAGAGTCTGGCTATATGTGAAATGGTCAAGCACTTCCCAGCCTAGTTCATCAATGATAACAACTGTCCTGTTAGCTGTATGACAATAGGTATTGTCATGGAGGATGATAAACCTTCTCTTCAGTTTTGCTAATCACTTCAAAGCTGCTGTCATTTTCATCATTAACAGATTACAACAATACTCTACACTAACTGTGACACAGCTGTAAGAAGTCTATAAATAAGTCCCTCATGATCCCAGAAGATGGGGACCAATACCTTGCCTGCCAGTTTCTTTATCAAATTTCTTGAGTAGCACAATTCCATACTGGAACATTTGCTTTCTGGTGTGTAGTGATGTTTTGTCATTAGTCATTAACTAAAAGTAATTAATCATCACCTCTCTTTTGTCATCTCAAATGATCAAAACAAACTATCACTTACATGGACTTTTAGTCAAAATTCAACATTTTTTGCACTAATTTTGTTGAAGAAAAGATGCTCACGAATGATTTTCTCCATACTCCCAATACTGATATGCACTTCTGTAAAATTACAGAAGTGCATATCAGTATTAGGAGTATGTATACAGTACAGAGTCAGTATTACAGACAGTATTTGTCAGTTGTTAACAATTAAATGTTCAACTCATTAAATATTCATCTGTGACCACTGTTGTTGGGAAGTAACAGCGTGGAAGATTTGTCACGGCACATCACCTCTGAATATGTTTACCCAATTCATACACTCAAGACTGACAGTACTGTACTTCTCTCCCAAACTATCCGCAGATATGTCTATGAATTTCAGCCAGTTTGCAGCTCGCCTTCACCAAAAACTTAATTAGACAATACTTGTCTCATATACTCACTAACATTACTTGATACGGATTGTGAGAGAAAGCAAGTGCAGATCATCAATCAATGCTGTCAACCACCCAAACCAGGAGGCCCTGGATGTGCAATACTACTGTACTAGTCATCAGCCAACTAAAACAGTTATAATAATTAAAATTTCAGGATGTATCTGAATAACAATCATATATTAGATGAAAATAATTTCTATATTGATTTATATAATATAAAGCTAAGTCATACATAGGCAAAAAAAATTATTTTAAGACTAGTTTCCAAATAATTAAATGAACTTACCAGTATCCAACAATTCTTTTGCGATCGTTGATGTCGTTTGCATTATTATTTTATTCACTACTTCTTGTTTTTGAATAGGACCACCTGGGGCTCGATTTAATCCTAAATGATGAAAATAATGTTTACATTTCATTATTAATTACACAATAAATAAACATGGTATCAATCAGATTATGTAAATAGTATCAATGAAATTGAATTATACATGATCTATTATAAATTGAGAGAGAATTAAAAATCAACCAGAATCAGTATTAAATATTTATTGAATTCAATCAAAATAATCTCTGTACTTTTAACATATGCTCCTTTCCACATTTAGAATGATTCCAAGTTCTTTTCAATATAATTTCAAATATTTTAATATATCCTTTACAATCTTAAAAGACCTTTAATTAAGTCCTCAAACTTTGTAGAATAGGGTTTTATGGACACTTTATTGCAGAGTATATCATACTGTTCTTTTGCTTTGACAGCACATTTCTCATCAATCCTGTCTGTATCATGTAGAACCTCCAGTAAAACATTGAAATACAATTTTCCAACATTTGATTGCATTTTAATAATTTTTGGGTCTAAGCTGCTCAAAGCCTTCACACATTTTACTTGACAGATCCCTTCTCAATAATCTTTTGTGTCTTCACTTTCAGCACATTTCGACAATCTCTTAATTTCAATTCTTTTAAAAACCTCTTTTGCTCCAAAACCAATATCCAAATTCTTCAGATGTACCAAGTTTTCATTAGCATTTAAATGTATTTTTATAAACTGCTTGTCAGTGACCCTGTCATTTTTCACAAACTTTCTCATCAGGTTCATTAATAATTAAACAACTGCTTTATAAAGATAGGGTGGAAAAGGTTTGTTGCTCTGAAATTGGGTGAGAAAGCTCTCACTTTGTGTACATATTGACCGAAAAAATAAAAGTTTAACTTTAATAAAGGGATCATTGAGTGCCTGTCTCAAGAATGTAACCACCTTGCTGTCTTTCAACTTTGTACTGTTGTTTATGTATCTCTTCACAGATTCACAGATATTTCAACAACTTCTGCTGCATGTTCTAAGCACTTTCCATTGTCCAACCACCTTGTTGAACCAAACTTTTTGGGAAATAATCTGCTTCCACTTATAGCAATGTATTTGACACGCCAAGTGGTTGAGTCTTTTAGCAAATAGTACAAATTCCGTAGCAGGTGGTAACAAATTCCAATCTACTATTTTAAAACCAGCTTTTACAGCACCATGCACTACACATAAACCACACGTTCCCATTCTCACAAATGATTTACCAACATTCTGTGTCTCCATGTGATCTTCTAATTTATTCAGAAAACTTATGTTTACATCTGGTCCTTCCATACAGATATGAAGAATTTTTGCTACATCAAGATGAATATCTGAAAGCCCATTGAGAAATGCAGAGAGAAGATCATCTGCTGTACTATGATCCAGAAAGACACTATTTACATATCTGGTCATAACCTTATCTTTACTCTTGTCCCGGTATTTTATCACAAGATCCATTTGAGTTCCTTGAGCAACTTTGTTTAGCGATTTGTCAAAGGAGATAGTAATATTATCGTAACTTATAACAGCATCAATCAATTTTTCTTTAAAATAATGGGCTAGGCCATAATTGCCATAATTTATTATTTAGGAAGCTTTATCTGGACCCAATTGAAATTGTGTGGCTGTAGAGCTGTCAGGGAACATTTTTTTGAAAGTGTTTTTAATATCAGAGCATGAATTGAGTGACATCTTTTTTCTTACAACTGCCAATGCCCAAGTTATCTCTTCTTTTATTACATCATCTTTTATCACAAAAGTTGCCAATGTGCTGCTAAGAAATGTTTATTTGGTGAACAACTGTTCATTAATGATCTTAGATCTATCTTCCACAACAGAAGCCGTTTCACACACATTTTGTTGACTATTAGAAGTTTGAATTTGTTGGGTTAAAAACCTTATCAGTGAAGTTTGTTCCGACTTCAATCTTTTTATTTCAATGACTATTTGCATGCAATACTAATGCATTCTTTCCCATATTACTTATGGAGAAAACTTTACAATAAATGCAGCAAAATGCTTTTGTATCATCATCTTTTACAGTTCTTAACCAGGAATTGAATTCTGAATGAATAGCTGGATCCAGCCATTGAAGATTAAACCTCGTTTGTTTTCATGCCATTATAATTTAAGAATGTAGAAAAACACAAACCTTGAATAATAATATTAAAAGACAGATGAACCAGATCTGATAGCAATGTGTAAGACTTGTTTTGTCACAACACTACATAAAATATTCAAATGACACCCAATCCACATCTGCATATATATTAATTAATAGTAGTGTTGCCAACTCAAAATTCAAATTTACAGCTAAACATTTTAATAAAAATAACTAAATCATATTGTTTCCATTAGAATTGTTTGATTCTTTTAGCTAGATTGTTCATAAATCCACTAAATCTAGCAAAAAAATTAGCTGAATTGGCAACTCATTAAAAGAAAAAAAATGTTCTGTTGCTGCCTTTTTGATTTCAGTTTCGGTGTAAAGGCCAGAGTTTTAATAATAATCATATATTTAATTTTGCATTAAATTTCATCTTTGCATAAAATTTTCTTAAGAATGCAGACAAAATTTATTTATTCTAATCTTTAATTACAATTCTTATAATTATTGCAAATCATATCACAAACCATCTTTCTCACTTTTATAGCAAATTTTAATTAAACGAACGTTTTCAGCCATCTTAAATAGTATTCCTCAGGTTTAACGTAATTTCAAACATCAATTAGAACATAAGATTTGAAATTTCAAGTTTTGCTTGTGTGAGATAGCTTTCCCTTTAGGAAAATAATTAGTTTTTCTATTTTAGTAAGTTATGGGACAATTCCGGAACTGCACACTTATATTCTTATGATGTCATAGTATTATGAAAATTGGGATTCTTAAAACTTATAGAATTTAAATAAAATAAAATAAATACAGAAATAAACATCAAATGAAATTACAATTATACATTAATAAAATACAGAAGTTCAGCGCACAGAATCATAACATAACATTGGTTAAACTACAAATCTCTATCTTTTGCTACATAACTATAAAAATTGTTTTGTTGTTGTTTTGCACAAAAGATAATCAAATTTATTTTAATTTTTTAATAATTTAATTAATTTTTTAAAAATTTATTAGCTTTTTAAATTTTAATTATAAGCAAATTAACATNTATTTCCAAAGTTTGTTTTAATATAAAAATAATGACACATAGCGACATCTAGTATCAAAAAACGTTTTTGATACTAGATGTAAGTAGCTCAAGATAACAGGGAACAGTATTTCAATCAGCTTGAATTTACTTGACCCTTTCAGTCAAATCAAAGTAACAAATCTTATTTGTGTTTTTATCAATATTAACCTACAATTAGATACACCAAAGGGAAGTGTATAGTTGTAATTCCAATTTAGTGACAACTACACATTTTAAAATACTTTTACTTTCTCAGCTGTATACATAATAAGGGAAAGTATTGGAATCATGTCAGATTTGATGTTCTGGTTTTTTTTTTTTTTTTTGCAAATTTCGATGTTGTGAGAATCCCTAACCCAAAAAAGTCAACTAAAATTCTATAGTGTGTATGTGTATGTTGACATCTATTTTGTCTAATATCTCAGAATGAGTAAAGACTAAAATAAAATTTGGAATGATAGCTTGTATATAAGGGGCATTGATGCTATTAAACTTTGATGGTTAAAAATCAAGGGATGAGAGATAGAGGGGTGTGTATCATAGTCATATCTCAAGATAGGTTGAACTAAACAAAGATTTTACTTGTTATTAGCATTTACAGTTTTTTTTTCTTTTTATAAAATTCATTGCTACCATCAAAATTAACCTTTTTGCCATTTTATAATAATTAATCACATAAAATGTTTTTGGGCTGCAATTTGGAAAAATTTTAGACCTATAAATTCCCACTGTCACTTGTCTTTCCTTAATTTCAAAAATGGAGTTAGATGAAATCCAAGACCAGACATGGAAACCATAGGGGCAGTAGACCCCATTAACTATATACAAACTTCTAATGCAAAATGGAAGTCATGTTATTTTAATACAAAAATTTTCCTTGAAAGGTGTTAGATAGATAACTGGCACAACTCTATTGTTAAAAGGAAAGTACAATGTACAGAGGCAAGCCACTACTAATTAGCAGTGAAGAGTATTGCAGCTCAGCATTGTAATGATGTCACAATAAATAATTGCTTGTTTATAATACAATCTCTTAACAGCTGGGAAAGTTATGCAACTCATTGCTTGATTTTTTTACTATTTATAAAAAAATTTCACCCAATTAACAAACACGTAGAAAAAAAGCCTTTATGTAATATAATCCAGTTTGTACATATAGCCTGACTCTTTCATTTAGACCAGGGGTCACCAAACTACAGCCCGGAAGCCAGATCCAGCCTACAAGGTCAGTTCATCTGGCCCGCCACCACACTGTGCCATAAATGAGGTAAAATATAATTATTTCTTTGGAAATATCATAGTCTGTAGATAAACTTACTATGTATAAAAAATTAAAATAAGTGTAAGTATAAATGCCAAAATTGCTCCAATCTGATTTTTGCATCTGACAATAATATAAATTTTAGGAAACTTTTTGCGACTTTGGATATCAGAGTGCTTTTTGTATAAGTATCTACAATGAAGTTCCTAACAAATGCCATTACAAGCTTGCTGCAGCCATCGTGTTCGTGTATTGGTAAATAAATATGTTGGTTGTCTTTAATTTTTGTGTATTCAGTGTGCTGTATTGAACAAAACGGTTATGCGGACCACGCTTGTCATTTTCTCAGTTATCTGGCCTGCCGCAAAAAAAGTTTGGTGACCATGATTAAGACTAAAGCTTAGTGAATCATTGTAAAACAAATCTGAATGATAACAAACATTATAGTAAACTAGAAAGAATATAGTTTCAAATAAACATAATTAATTGACAGAAGGTTTTATTAAAAATAACAGGCCCTTAGAAAATGAGGCTTATCAATTTCATTCCAATTCAAATTATGTAAGAAAGCATTTGTGTTTTAATTT